AAAGATAGTTTCAAAACGTAGAGAGAGAAAACGTCATCTGTCAAAAATGGCGCCAAATTTAATTTTATTTTTCTGCCCTAATATAAAAAAACTTACAACAGTGTATTGAATAATTTTACCTTTCAGACCTACAAGAATATAGTTTTTAGAGTAACCAATAATTAAAAAAAATCCCAAATTCTTTCGAAATTATCCCATATTGAAAACAACCAAACTATATGCTAATTTTAACGATATGAGTTCTCGTACTTTTGACCGACTTCCCAAAAGAAGGAGGTACTCAATTCGTCTGTATGTTTTTTTTTTATGTGTGTTACGGCATAACTCCGCCGCTAGTGGACCGATTTTGATAATTCTTTTTTTATCCGAAAGGTAATGCTTGCAGGTGGGTCTCATTTTTTTGTTTGATTCTTTATTTAACATTTTTAGGATTCAAGCGAAAACGAGATAGATTTTAAGGGCCTGTCCCACCACTGGCTGATAGAATCAGCATAAAAATGACGTCACTGTCAGATAACTTTTTAGTAACAGTGGAAATCTAATATATCTTTCAATTCCTTCAAAATACATAAATTCGCTCGTAAAAGTATATTTTATGGGTTACCAAACTTATTAGCTATAGCCAATCGTCTAGCTGTTGCCCGCGACTTCGCGCAATATTAAAAAACTATTTGAGTATAAAAATCTTTAAAGTTCCAATCATATGTCATAATAAGTACAAAAATGCTTAGAATTTTAGAGGTTTTCTTATGTAAATAAACAAATTTGCAATAGTCTTTAAAAAGAGGAAAGATTTTTACATTGAAATAACTCAAAAACTACTGGGCAGATTTTAAAAATTCTTTCGCCTTTAGAAAGGTAATTAATCATTGATTAACATGAACTATATTGTTAATTTTAAGTGGGCAAAGTCGCGGGCAACAGCTAGTAAACAATAAACTAAGTTGAAGCTTTAAAGGAGTTAGTTCTGAAGTTTCAAACTCCACATAAAATCGTAGGAAGCAACTAGCTTTGATAATTTCAATTCAAAATGGGTTTAGAATTGTTTTTTTTAAGTTTTTTATGGCATTTAAAAACAAACGTCTTATAAGTTATTGTATACTTTACTAACAGACAACTATATTTTTTATATAGATATGATTGAATTACAATTATCGGATGTTATTAAGTGTCATAGCAATAGAAATAGAAAAAATACATTTTTTCAATGAAAAAAATGAACTTTCAAAGAAAAAGTTAAGATGTAACACACAATTGACTCTGTTTTATTCAAAAATAATTAAAAAATTGTCGAAAAATTGTTTTCAAACTGTCGAAGTAAAAAATTATTTTTTTTTTAGTGAAGTTTTTAGAAACATTAAATTATAAATTAATAAAAATCACTATTGAGTTAAAATTCATTACAATCATTAAATATACGTAAAATATCTGAAAAATATTAACATGATATTCAGTAGTTAGTATAGTTCACAATTTTCCGTCAAATTATAAACTAAATTCACAAAAAGGTCAATCAAAAACAATCTTTTGAGTCAATGGTATAGAAAAAATATATTTGAAGAGCATAAAAAAACTAGATAGAACTAATTTTTCAAACTAGAAACCAAATTGCTGTTAACTAAACTAAAAATTCGGTATACGTAGTTTAAAAAAACTAAAAAAAATCAACGATTTTTTTATATTCACTTTAAAGCAAAAAAAAAAAGATTTTTTTCTCAAATTCCTACAAAACTAGTTTACAATATTTACAACAAAATATTCTTATTATAATAAATGCATTTAACTTCACAATATCTATTGATTACTAATTTTAATAGAGATTCCACTCCTATTGCGATCATGATACGTAACGAGAGACTTAGACGAAAACTACATTAAAATCCACTTAGTGTAGTTTTAACGAGAGATCTATACTAAAAAAGATTTGTATTTACGTCATAAACTCAAAAACTACTGGAGTTTTTGCAAAACTACTGACATAAGACATAATTATTAATAGATTTTTATTTAATTTCATCGTAAAATCGTAAGTTTGACGTCTTTGAATGTAATTTTTTCGTGAAACAAATGGGTTTTTTTATATTTCACTTCTAGTAATAAATATACCTTATATCATTTTAAAGGTAGTTTTGAAAAAACTCCGGTAGTTTTTGAGTTTATTTCATTACATACAAATATATCATTATACTAGTACAGATAAAATTATAATTAATCAAACATGAAATTGGAAAAAATCCTACTTAATTTTTTTTCTAACCTCAAAATACATAAAAACATACAAATGACATATTTTGTGCTCATTTCCACTAAATCTACATATATTCATAATTAACACTAATTTTTTAAAACAATAAAAGCAAAAGAAACTTATCAAAACATGTCTTTCTACGTGGAGAATAAAAAAAACGTATAAAAAACACGATATAAAGTGTCTACAAGGACTAGATTTAAAAAAAATATCTCAATAAAGGACTTTCAGTATAAGAATTGGTAGTAAACGAATTGAATCCCGAAATTTGTAAAAAAAAGCAACAAAATTTACTTCAAAAGTCGTAATTAACAAAAAATTTGCAAAAAACGTCATTTTTTACCTTTTTAATTTAACAAGTGAATAACTCAGCTATATTTAAAAAAAAAAACATTAATTACTATGTTTAGGGTTAGCCATAGATGTATAACCTATAGAAGTAACTTTTTCATAGAATTTTAACATTTTAATAACGACCTGTCCCACAACTGGCTGATAGAGACAGATAGCTTAATAACGTCACTGTCGGATAAGGTAATAAAATCAGATATTTTCATCACATATTTTACACGTTGGATTGTTTAAAATTTACATTTTGGTGGAACAGGCCCTTGACTTTCTAAATGTTATTTTACAAAAATTAAAATGAGGGAAATAGCACAAAAAAAGGTTCCCTAGGTTTTTTTTCAACTTTTTACCTATAGATTACACACCTATAGTTAACTTGTAGATATTTTTTAAATATTACTCAAACAAAAACCCTAAAACCTAAGTTACAAATAATAACTAATACAGTCTTGGAATAAAAACTTTGGTTTAATTCGAGATTTTTTTCTTCTGTACGTCAAAGTATTTTAATATTGAAAAAAAAATCGAAAAAAATCATACATCTTTGGTATGTCTAACAATAAACAGTTCTAAAACCGGTTACAACTGGTTTTAACCAGTTATAACTTTAAAGGAATTAAAAAAGCCTGATTTTGCAAAAAAACAACTATTTTTTTAACATTAAAAAGGCATCTAATAAAGGAAACAATCTCATTCAATCTAAATCTCATATTTTTTATGGTTAACTTATAACCAGTTATAGTTATAACGTGATTTATAACTGGTTACAACTAACGTGCAAAGAGTAAAAAAGAAAAAAAAATTTTTTACCTTCAAAGTAAATTTCAATATAATAATGTCAAAATTAATGTCAAATCGGTATTAAAGATTTTTTCTCACTATTAGAAAAAAATGTATCAAAACATCGTGTAGTAAATTTACTAAAGATTTTATGATAATAATAAAAAAAAAAAACAAAAAAAAAATTTTTTTTGCATTTTTTTTTAAGATTTGACCGATTTCCGAAAAAAAAAATATAAAACAACAATATTCATATTTAGAGACATTTCGATGACTCCTACATAAAAGCAACAATTTTGAGATTTAATCCTTGTGCTGATTTTCAAAATTTGAAAATATTATTTTTTATATAAAAAGTTACTTAAAAAAAACAGTGTATTTTGGTTATCCATCGAATACGATAATATATAATAAGATTAATAAAGTCTTGTCTTGAAAATTTAAAATTTCAAACATACACTAGTTTCCGTAGGAGCCATCAAATTATTGACAAAAGAAAAAAATCTAATATGTATTTTTTACTACAGTGAGTATTAAATTATGATTTATCATAAACTTACATTTATTTACAATATTCAAATATTGCATTGTTTAAAAATTGCAAATGTATAATTTTGACAACCTGTCAAATTACTGTCAAAACATCACTGGTCAACTGTCAAAATAACGATTATAAACATAACATAAAAAATGCATTGTTTTTAGTTTGTATTTGTCTTAAAAACGTTATTACAATTTTATTAGAATGAGTATTCTTATTTGTAATTTAGTACACAAAAAACAAAGACATTCTGAAATGTCAAACGTCAAATTGACAGCTGTCAAAAGTGTACTGTGACAATGTTATCCGTGTTTATAAAAGTTCCGTCACTAAATGTTGCAAAACCAAAAAATATGACACGACAGTCAAAAAATGTGACAAGTGTACAAAAAACTTGACAGTACAGTGATCTTGCCATTTCCTGGAAGGAGCGTCATAATCGTTTAACCTTACTGTCAAATTTGACATGTACTGTCTAAAAAACAATTCAACCTAACCTGACACTTGACAGCTGTCAAATTTGACATTAACGCGTGTAATTAATTTCTGGCAATAGGAAAAAGCCATAAAACACTTTAATCCTTGTCTGCTATCTGTCTTTTCTTCGCTATATTGGCGAAATGTAGCCAATTAATTCGCCGATTGTTCCTTACGTCCCGTAAAAGATACTATGGACCTAATACCTTTCACTGATGTCTGAAAAAGAAACAAACATAATATTATAAATGCGAAAGTTTGGATGGATGTATGGATGGATGGATGTTTGTTAGCGTTTGTAGCATAAACGGCTAAACGGATCTCCATGAAATTTGGCATAGACGTAAATGATACTTTGGAAGAACACATTTTGTTTTTTTTTAATTTCACGTGGACGGAGTCGCGGGCCAAAGCTAATATTCAATAGCTTACACTTTAGCCCGTAACAGAGAAATTTAAAAACTTATATACCAAAGTAATCCCTATCAGTGGGATAAAAATGAGTAAAATACCTTCTTTTTAGCTCCATTTAGATAATCTTTATACATTTCTGAACGTAGATATCTTGAATAACTGTCAGATTTCATTAAATGGTATACGTGAGCCTGAAAACAATAAAAAAATATTATTTTTTATTAAAAGCAGGGCGTTCATTATTGTTATTTGACTGCTGTTATTTTATGATAATTTGTTAGAGTAAATTGTATTTTAATCCTTTCTATTAGGAATAAAAATAAAAGAAAAAGTGTTCAAAGAAATAAAAGCAGAAAGAAAGGTTGAAAGAAAAGAAGGTTAACAGATATAAAGAAATAAAGGCGAAATGAAAAGTTGACAGAAATAAATATAGAAAGAAATAAAGGTGAAATGAAAGGTTGAAAGAAAAGAAGGTTGACAGAAATAAAGATAGAAAGAAATAAAGGTGAAATGAAAGGTTGAAAGAAAAGAAGGTTGACAGAAATAAAGATAGAAAGAAATAAAGGCAAAATGAAAAGTTAAAAGAAAAGAAGTTTAACAGAAATAAAGATAGAAAGAAATAAAGGTGAAATGAAAAGTTGAAAGAAAAGAAGGTTGACAGAAATTAAGGTAAAAAATCATACAGAAGTAAAAGATTAGAAAGAAAGTGACAGAAAGAAAGATGTCTGGTACATAAAACATATGTACAAAAAATCTAACTTATATAATATATACATTATAAGGAATAACAGAATTTTTCAGTGCGTTTTTTGGTTTTTTTTCGGTACATTTGATGTTGCAATTGTAATAATTGGCTGATTCTCTGTTCCTCCTAGTTAATGTTGTAAAATTACTTTAAAACGGATAGATTTTGTGTCCAATCAAATAATAAAGTTGTTCGCCATCTTGTAATTCTTTTTTTTTATTAAAATTCGTTCGTAGTTGCTAAAAATATAAATAACATACCTGCGCTTGATCGAAGCAATATCTATCAGGTTTTCCCGACTCTACTTTCACTCGCGTCAATTCACTGGAAATATTAAACAAATAATTAAAAAAAAATATTAAAAACATCAATATAATAATTATTAAAAACTGTAATCTACTGGAACCTTTCAGAATATTTTCCAAGCTTCCAGAATATTCCAGAAAGCTCCAAAATCTTAAAGAATCTTTTACAAACAACTTCAATATGTTATTTTTTATAATTTTGCGAGTATATTTTATACTAGCTACTACTCGTGACTTTATTCGCGTAAAAAAAATATAGCCTATGTTACATACAGATAAATTACCTTTCTAATTTTAGATTTTCTAATTTCTAATTTTAGATTTCTATGAAATTTTGTCTAGATATAAAGGTTATTTTGGAAGAACACATAGGGTACTCACTTTTGTTTTTTTTTTATTTCTGGGCGGACGGAGTCGCGCGCAAAAGCGAGTAGCGAAACAAATTTTCGAACCAGTGCAATAGTTTTTGACTTATTTCAATACATACAAAAATACATATCTTTCCTCTTTATATTAGTATAGATATGATGTTAAATGATTTATAAATGGGGGGGGAGTAAAAAGGTAGGATAATATCACTATAGCACTGTTTACAATCATCCAAAAACTTCCAGACAGTTATAAAGTCTTATAGAAGTTTCTAGTACCATATAGCACCTTCCAGAATCTTCTAGAATGTTCTAGAACTCACCGACTGGCAGCATCAATGTTGACGGGGGAGGGCGCGTCCGCGGCGAGGAACTCCCTCCATATGTCCTTAGCGCGGGAAGCCACGCGTCTTATAGGGAGGGATTTCAACTCCTGGACCGCTAACCAGAATCTAGAAATACCATTATAATGTACTAAAATACTGAAAAATAGTGTATAATATATAAATAAGAATTTAAATTGATTTTAATATATAAAACGATGTAAAAACATTCTAATATATTTAGCTAATAACAAATATAGTTTCGTAATTATGTACTACAACTCTCTATAACGCGGATGATTTTTACGTTATAAGGGTTTTTCTTTAATTGTTGGGGCTATTCACGTTATAAGGGACTATTTTCGCGTTATATGAGGGTAATAATTTGCGTTACGGGGATTGAGTAAAGCCATTTGCTATACATATAATTATATTTATTTTACAGTAAACTCAAAAGCAAATAAACGCGTTCCTATAACGCGAATTCTGTATAACGCTTATAACAATTATATTAGAATTCCTTATAAAGCGAATTATGTTAAGCAATCGTGTTATATGAAGTGACAAACCCTCCTTATAACGCGAAACAGGCAGCGTTATAGGGAGATCGACAATTTAAAAAAAAAAAAAGAAAAAAGAAAAAAAAAGAAGTATACGCCAGTGCAGGAATATTTTATTAATTAACTTGTTAACAGTGGTAGAGCCCGCTTTAACATCTTCGCACTGCAGGCTTTCAGCAAATATCACGACCACACAAGACAGGCGTGAAGTGGAAGCAATTCCGCCTACAATCTGATGAGTGTGCCGGAGGCCTCAATTTAGTCCCTTTCCCTTTTCACTCCTTTCTTAAGAGGAAAGAATGGGAAGGAAAAATGGATTTGACGGTGGAGACACATAGGATGGGGAAAGTCCTCTTTATGTGAGTTTCCGTCAATGAAGGGTAGGCAGCGCTGTAATAGCAGATGTCTATGTGCAGCGGTCGCTTTCCATTTCGGTGGATTCAGGCCGCTTGCTCGTTTGCCACATTACATTATAAAAAAATTATTCATATACTACGGAGCGTCGGTGGCTCAGTGGTTTGAACACTTGACTTGTAATACAGGTCTTGGGTTCGAATCCCGCTTTACCAATGTGATTTTCGATTTTTCATATGTACATAATTTACCCGACGTTCTTACGGTGAAGGGAAACATCGTGATGCACATATCGGAGAAGAAATTCAAAGATATGTGTGAAGTCAACCCACAGTGCAGGTTGACTATGTCCTAGTCACCCTTAGGGTAGGCTCCCCCCTCAGTGGGGATATGTGAGCTGGTGATGATAACTTATATACTTACTTAAGATTCTCTCCACTGAACTCCTTATTCAGGAACTTAGCGAAGTGTTCTCTGCCCGCGGTATCATGTAATAATTCACGTAAACCAAACGCCCAGCGACGGACACGACGAGCAGGTAAGGGATCCTTACTGCAACGTTATTTAGTTATAAACTAGCTGTTGCCCGCGACTCCGTCCGCGTAAAATTAAGTAGCCTATGTATGTATCGAGATCCGTTCAACAATTTATATAACACAAACTAACAAACATACATCTAAAATATAGTATTTATTGTATTCAGTATAGCTTATCTAAATAAGATAGATTAGTTTGACAATTCTTTTGACATTTCAGTAGGAATGGGTTGTGAAATTAAAAATAAAAAAAACAATGTTTTCTCAAATTAATAATGACCTGCAGAACCATCTATATCTATACTATTATGATAAAGCGTAAACATACACTTCTTTGTTGCCTAAGATGTCAGCAATTACAACATATTTTTGAATAATTCTTTTTTTAATAAAAAACCCGACACTTGCGTCACGCTTTAGGCTATATATTTTCACGCCATTAAATTTAGGGGGTAAAAATTTTGGATAAAAACCCTAATGTGAGTAAGAGAACATAAGTTGCTGCCAACATCAAGGAAGCAAGATTGTCATCATGTCTTGTCATTTTGACATTTGCAATTGATAATTTGACAAATGTAATCAATGAAATAGAATTTTCATAATTTTATGCGTATGAAGTCGCATGGGAACAGTTAGTTTAGTTATAAACTAACTGTTACCCACGACTCCGTCCGCGTGCAATTAATCAAACTAACAAACACTATAACATTTATAATATTAAGTAAATCATACTAATATTATAAATGCGAAAGTTTAGATGGATGTTTGTTAGAGTTTGCAGCCTAAACTGCTCAACGGATCTGGATGAAATTTAGCATATATGTAGAGGATAGTCTGGAAGAACATATAAGCTACTCACTTTTGATTTTTTTTAATTCTACGCGGACGGAGTCGCGGCCGAAAGCTCGTCTTTTATAAGTTAAGTTAAATAAAAGAAGTTTGTATCCTATATTATTATTTGTTGTTAATTTTGATCACATAGGCTATTTTTTTACGCGGGCGGAGTCGCGGGCGAAAGCTAGCTAAGAAATAACATAACATACCACAGTTTCTCCTGGTCCCATAGCTCGGTGGTGTCATTAATCCATGGATTGGGCCATTCCGGTGGTGTCAAAAATGGATCATATTCCGCATATTGTTCACAGAACGATATAAACCTGAAAAATATATGAAATCTATACTATTATAATAAAGCGTAAACACACATTTCTTTGTTGCCTAAGATGTCAGCAATTACAACATATTTTTGAATAATATTTTCTTTAATTAAAAGCCCTACACTTACGTCATGCCTTAGGCTATACATTTTCACGCCATTAAACGTAGAGGGTAAATATTTTGGATAGAAACCCTACTGTTGGAAAGAGAGCATAAGTTGCTGCCAACATCAAGGAAGCAAGATTGCCATAGTAAGGTAATTGGTATTTTGACATTTGCAATAAAGAATTTGACAAGTGCAAACAATAAATTAATAATTTTATGCAGATAAAGCCGCATGCGATCAGCTAGTCCTTAATAAAAATTCTAAACCATGTCTAAAACACCTGGTACGTGACAGACTTCATCCGCAAAATATTATGAAAATTTTATTTTAGTTTAAATTCTATTTATCTAGTAAAAAAATAGCAAGAATAAGAAATATACTAGCTTTCGCCTTCGACTCCGTTCGCGTGGAATTAAAGACATTGAGTAGTCTATGTGTTCTTCCAAACTATCCTCTACATATATACTAAATTTCATCGAAATCCGTTAAGCAGTTTAGGCTACACTCTAACAAACATCCATCCATCCAAACTTTCGCATTTACGAGTACAATATTAGTAAGATTTCTAATTTTTGCCATTTTTTATTGGGTGTATTAGACCTGGTACAAGAACTGAAATACAAAAATCCAATAAAAACCTCTCTTTACAATATTATTATAGATTTTACTAGTTTTAGTGGGGATATCCATCCATACTTACATATCAGCAACTTTACTGACGCGAACATTCCTTCTTTCCAAACGCGTCTTCAGCACAGCCACCTGCCTCCGAGCTGCCTCCAACTGCTGTTCTAAGTTCTCTTCTGGCTCCTTCTCTACCACAGCTGAAGTCTCACCTATAAAGAAAATAACACTTAGGGCTTGTCCCACAACTGGCTGATAGAGACACAGATAGCTTAATGACGTCACTGTCAGATAAGGGAACAAAATCAGATATTTCCATCACATTTACACGTTGGGTCAAAAATTTGAGGGGACAGGCATTAACTGTTGCTCCCGACTTCGTCTGCGTGAAATTAAAAATCTCTATGTTATTCAATAATATAGCTTTCTTATTTATTGCAATACATACAAAAATAAAAAAAATCTTTATTAGTATAGATAATCCTTTTTTTTATGACAAACTAGCTTTCGCTCGCGACTCCGTCCGCGTGGAATTGAAAAGAACAAAAGTGTATAGCCTATGTTTTCTTCCAGACTAACCTCTATACCAAATTTCATCGCAATCCGTTCAGTCTAGGCTATAAACTCCAACATCCATCCATCTAAACTTTCGCATTTATAATATTAGTAAGATGACAATGAAAGCCTACGCTAAGCTAAGACGCTATTAAACTTAAGGGGTAAATAAATTGGAAAAATCATGCGGGAAAGGGAAAAAAACTACAAGCTGACAAAGAAGCAAGATTGCTGGTAACGGTAATTGTTATCCAATGTCAAAAGGTTTTTTCGCTATTAATGGCGAAACCTTTCTATATCTATACTAATATTACAAACAGGAACAATTTGTAGTTTTGTATGTATTGAAATAACTCAAAAACTACTGGGGCAATTTTCAAAAACTCTTTCACCATTAAAAAGGTAATTTATCTGCGAGTAACATAAGCTATATTTTGTATATTTTTTTAATTTCACGCGGGCGAAGTCACAAGCAACAGCTAGTCACTATAAAATAGGAGTTTCAAAGTAACATCAAGGGTTATGAGTAACTTCTGTTCTACTTCTTAAAGAAGATAAAATTCTTACCATTTTCTTTAACAGCATTTATTTCTGCATTCTTTTGGATTTCTTCTTCACTTTCTTGAGGATTTGTGATAGTTACTATCGGATTAGTCTGAAAATAAACATTCAAGCTTATCTTATAAAGGGGTAAACAGATACTCAACCGAGAATATAAAAACCCTCGTCTTTACATCATTAGTTCAATAATTAGCAATATTACTTTTCTATTTATATTTCTGGATAGATTATTCATAAATTAAAAAATGTTTCCCGTTGGGCCGTTGACCATATGGTCGTCCCAGATGGAATTTTCTTTTGACTCAGATGTATTTAAAGAATGATTTAATCCAATGGGAATGATTTCCCATTATATTCATCGATAATCCGAACGGTCCAACGGGAAACTTTCATATTTTCAAGTATTTTAATTAAACAATACTTCGTAAGTTCTTACAATCTGACGAACGTCATTTTAATAGTTAATTTAAGTATTATTTAAGACGCTGTTAGAAATATCAATTTTGTCAACGGACTTCTGAAACGACATTTATACCGTCTTAATAATAAGACCACTATACTCAAAATTGCATTAAAAATATGACATCCGTTAGATTACAAGCGTATACAAAGCGAAGTAATTGGTGATATTGCTTAAATTAAAAAACTACCCGGTAGTTTTTGAGTTTTTTTAAAGTATACCAACATTTTTGTAATTTTTATCTTAAACATCGATAAGCGACGAGTTTTTTGTAGAAAAAATATGTTACCAACACACTAAAATCAAAAACTCACATATTTTTCTCTAAACTCGGTAGTTTTTTTAATTACTCGTATTTCTTGACAATCGAATAAACCCTTAAATGCATGATGCATTAATCATTTCTTCCTTGCCATTGCTTAAAAAAAAAAACAAAAAAAAGTTTTTTCAAGATAGTCTACTGAGAGACTATTTGAAAAAACATTTTTTTAATTTTTTCCCCATAATCTATGTTCAATTCACTACCAGATTAATTTTTTGGTATTTAAAAAGAAAAAATCATGCATTTAATGGTAAAGGTGTCAAAATGTGTTGTATTTTTTATGTTTTTTACTTCAATTTTTTTTTGACCGACTTCCCAAAAGAAGGAGGTACTCAATTCGTCTGTATGTATTTTTTTAATTTTTTTTTATGTGTTACGGCATAACTCCGCCGCTAGTGGACCGATTTTGACAATTCTTTTTTTATCCGAAAGGTAATGCTTGCAGGTGGGTCCCATTTTTTTGTTTGATTTTTTTTAATTATATTATGCTGTAATAATAATTATGTGATAATAATTACCTTTATATTATGCTGTAACAATAATTCTTGACATTGTCTCATTCTCCGCGCTTTTAGTGCATTTATACGAGAAAGTTTCTTCGGATCCAATTCCGTTGTATTAACGCAGCCAGGCTGTAAAATTACATGAACTGAGACCCCCTAACTTTGACCCCTAACTTTTAACTGACCCCATACAGGGTCGAAAAGACCTCGTTGGGGGTCCCGAAATTTTTAAAATAACAAAAATTAATGAAATTTAAACATTCAAACGTATGTAAATCGATTATTTTCCGTTTTTACTTTTTTTTATAACATTAGATGGCAAACGAGCAAGCGACAACCTGAAACCGCCAAAATGGCGAAGCGTCCGCTGCCCATAGACATCCGCAATTGCAGATGCGTTGCCTACCCTTATACGACGGAGGAGGAGACTTACATAAAGATATTTCCCCTTCCTATGCATTTCCTCCACCGTCAAATCCCCTTCCTCTTCCCAACCTCTCCTTATAAGAAAAGGGCGGTAAAGAGAAAGGGACTTAAATTAGGCCTCCTGCACCACACTCATCAGACGAAACACGGAATTGCGTCCATTTCACGCCTATCTTCTGTGTGGTCGTGGTATTGGGGGCGAGCCCTGCAGTGCTGTTAATTTAATAATTTAATTTATAATTGTATATCTACTGCATTACGACTGAAAATGATATTTTTAAAATAAGACCCCCAATAGGGGGTGACACACAATAGTGTGACCCCCTAATTTCGGTAGTATTTAGAAAAAAGGACGGATAATAATTAATTTAGATACATTTGAATGTTTTAATTAACATTAATTTTTGTTACTTTATGAATTTCGGGACCCCCTACGAGGTCTTTTCGACCCTGTATGGGGTCGGTTAAATTAGTAACTTACCATAGGTCTATGAACATCCCAGAACGCCCTTTCTTGACTGTCCAGTACTTTCCTCTCTAATTTATCTCTTTTCTTATCAACCTGAAATTAAATAAATCATTATCAATATTAAAGAAACTTCAATATTTATTTTCATAGACAACTAGTTTACGCCCGCGACTGTCCGCGTGGAATTAAAATAAAAGTGAGTAGCCTATGTGTTCTTCCAGACTATCCTCTACATCTATGCCAAATACTATCCAGATCCGTTTAGCAGTTTAGGCTACAAACTCTAACAAACATACATCCATCTAAACTTTCGTATTTAAATATTAGTATAGATGGAAATCGTTAGAAAATTACAATCACATTCATTATCAACTTGCCCTTATCCCTTATAGAGGGTCGGCACAGTATGTGCTGCTCTTCCATACATCTCTATCAGCCGTCATGTCTGAATCCACTCCTTTTTTAAGCATATCCTCCTTCACACAATCCATACTTTCTTCTGTCTTCCTCTTCCTTTGTAGCCACATTCAATCTTAACGTCCCCATCGTCTCGTCGCATAACATGTCCATACCACGCTAACCTTTAGAAAATTACACATTGGGGAATTTAAATCCATGATCTGTAAACAATAAAAAACTACCAACCTTACTCTGAGCCTCAGCCTGCATGAAAATAAATTCCCATTTCCTACTAAACATCTTCTGTAAACGAGCGAGGGATTCCGCCTCATAGTCCGCTAGTTCTAGACGCGCTTTATTCTGCATTGTTCTCTTACACAAGTATACCGCATAATCTGTGTTTTCAGGCTCCCATTGGTTGGACGGCCAGAAATACGGCGTCTGGAACCTAAAGAACTACCTATTATATGGGGTCTAACAGACCCGGTATATTAAAATGGATGGACCTTGAAGGAAATCATAATATATATGGTTTCAAAAGAATATTAACAGAAATATTTGTCTGGTATAAGAAGGAAATCGTAATATATGAGGTCTAATAGACCTGGTACATTAAAATTTTTTGGAACTTGAATGAAATCGTTATATAGATGGTTTTAAAAGAATATTAAAAGAAGTATATGATCTGGTTTCAGTAGGAAATCGTAATATATGGGGTCTAATAGACCTTGTATATTAAAATGTATGGAACTTGAATGATATCGTCATTTAGAGAGATTAAAAGAATATTTAGAGAAATATGTGGTATAGTGTCAGCAGCAAATCGTAATATATGAGGTCTAATAGACCTGGTATATTAAAATGTATTGAACTTGAATGAAATCGTTATTTACAGAGTTTAAAAGAATATTTAGAGAAATATGTGGTATAGTGTCAGCAGCAAATCGTAATATATGGGGTCTAACAGACCTTGTATTTTAAAATGTTGGAAACTTGAAGAAAATCGTTATACAGGGGGTTTAGAAGAACTTGAAAACTCGGAAATTGAAGGAAATTATAAAAAAGTCAGCAACCTTGCTTTCTTGATAACAGCTTGTAGCTTTTGTCCCTTTCCCCCATTAAGGTTTTTTCCAATTTATTTATCCCCTATGTTTACTAGCATGAAAATATTTAGCCTATAGTGTGTCGTAAGTGTATTGTATTTTATTAAAGACCACCATTAGCAAGGTAAAAAAAAAATTATAATTATCCCAGTAGTTTTTGAGTTATTCCAATACAAAAATAAATATCTTTCCCCTTAATATTAGTATAGATTACTCACCTATAATATGTATTATCATTCTTAACGGTGAGATAATGGTCATCTATTGGGAACATATATCCATGTGCTGCGAGCAAATGTGCCAAATGTTGAGCCTCCCCGCTCTCCTCCAGTCTAAAGTGACGCATTATCCACGCAACCAAATCTGAACCGGTGAAAACCTGAAAAGTTTCTATATTAAAACACTAAATAGATATATAAACACTATTATAATCATACTATTGTCTATGGTTGATTAGTTAAAACTATACTATTATAATAAAGCGTGTACACACACTACTTTGTGGCTTAAGATGTCAGCAATCACAGCATATTTTTGAAAAATTATTTCTTTAATAAAAAACCCTACAGTTACTTCATGTTTGAGGCTATATATTTTCACGCTATTAACCTTAAGGGGTAAATAAATTAAATAAAAACCATAATGTAGGAAAGAGACCATAAGTTGCTGCCAACATCAAGAAAAAGGTTGCTAAGATTTGTCATGTCATGTCATTTTGACATTTGCTATTGATAATTTGACAAATGTAAACAATTATATAAAATTTTCATAATTACATGCGGATGAAGCCGCATGGGAACAGCTAGTAAACCATGCATATAAAATATCAAAATAATCATACTTCATACTAATATTATAAATGGGAAAGTTTAGATGGATGGATGGTAGAGTTTGTAGCCTAAACTGCTGAACGGGTCTCGATAAAATTTGGCATAGAAATAGAGGATAATCTGGAAGAACACATAGACTACTCACTTTAGTTTTTTTTTAATTCCGCGAGGACGGAGTCGCGGGCGAAAGCTAGTATCATTATAAATGCGAAAGTTTAGATGGATGTTTGTTAGAGAAAATAAAAAAATTCAACTTACCGAAGGTATTTTACTCATGAAACTCTTTACAGTTTTGACAGGCACTCCTGTGTTCTCATCTTGCATCTTCTCAACAATGGCTTCCATCTGGAAATGTCAAACATATATATTATGAAAAACTATAATTATCTTAGATTCTATCACCACTAGCTATGGTTTTATGACTCCTAACTATGGTTCTATGACCCTATAAAAGTAATTTTGACAGTGGTAGAGCCCGCTTTTACATCTTCGCACGAATGGGTCGCCCGGTGTAATGACCACACAGAAAACAGGCGTGTGGAAGTAACTCCGCCTACAGTCTGATGAGTGTAGTGCCGGAGGCCTAATTTTAGTCCCTTTCCCTTTCCACCCTTTTTTTAAGAGGAAGGGATGTGAAGGAAAAGTGGATTTGATGGTGGAAGAGAAGCTCAGGAAGGGGAAAAATCCTCTTTATGTGCGCCTCCTCCTCTGTCAATTAAGGGTAGGCAATCCATCGCAGCAGTGGTTGCTTCACCATTTTGGTGGATTTCGGTGGCCACTTGCTCGTTTGCCACCTTTATGTATAAAAAAAGTATACGTTCTAATAGTATATATAATAGTATATGGTTCTTTGACCCCTTACTATGTTTAATTTATATGATTACATGACAACTAACTTAATAACACAATTACAGAGAAAAGTAGAAAATAAGACACAAATTTGTTTTTTGTTTTTGTTTTTTGTTAAAAATTTGTAAAGGGTCCTCCTTTTAATTTAGTATGATTGTTTTTGTTTTGTTTCTATTAATTAATATAATATTTTTTATCTCTTTATGATGTCTCATTTTTGTTTGATGTGATTTTTTTTTCTTTTTAAACATGTAATTTTTTTTCTGTATAAGTATGTAATTAGTACGGCCGGTTACCCTAATTAAGCTATATGTTACTTGAGTGCGAAGAAGCCAGCTGAAAATCAGCGCAGGAACGGTTTATTCCGTCCTGCATACGCTGAGCTGGCTACCTTTTGCCACGATTGTTTTCTTTAGAATAAGTTCTTTTATGTAATTTCTATTTTGTGGCAATAAATACATATTCTTTCATTCATTCAAAACCTTTAAATTAGCCAATAAGTGCATAAATACATTATCAGAACCAATTTATTAAAGTTAGTTTCCTTAAGCTATGTACATCATACTTCATACTAATATTATAAATGCGAAAGTTCAGATGGATGGATGTTAGAGTTTGTAGCCTAAATAACTTAACAGATTTCAATGAAATTTGGTATAGACGTAAAGATGTATGGAAGAACACATAGGCTACAATTTTTTTTGTAATCCAACGTGGTTAGAGTCGCGGGCGAAAGCTAGTAAATTATAAAGCTCCAAACGAGATTATGTTGCATTTTAGTATTTTTTATTTAGCTTAGTTAACCATACCTTTTTATAAATCAGATAGTTTGGTGATTCTTCCGGTGATGGTATTGTGGACATCAACGCTTGTACATTCGGTGGCAGGTTGGCAATAGCTACTTCTTTCTTCTCCTTCTCTTTGTGGATATCTTTTTCTTCTTTTATGCATTTCGACTCTCTGTTAAGAAAGGTTTTATAAATAAAGTGTAACTCAAAGTTGGTTTTATTTAAAGGGGAAATCATACTTCTTACTAATGTTATAAATGCGAAAGTTTACATGGATGAATGGATGTTTGTAAACGTTTGTAGCCTAAACTGCTGAACGGATCTCCATGAAGTTTGGCACAAGTTTAGAGCATAATCTGGAAGAACACATAGGCTACTTTTTATCCCGGGAATAGTTACGGTTCCCGTGGGATTCATTAATTTAATTTTATTAATGTTTACTTGATCATTCTGCAACGGTTTAACATATCTTACTGAAATTCGGCACAGATATAAAACAAAGTCTGGAGTACACTTGGTATAAGCTTCAAACCCCGAGAAATGTCCAGTTCCCGAGGGATATGTAGCTTTTTGTAATTTATATGGTTTATATGTTTTCTAATACCACGAGGACGAAGTCGCGGGCAACAGCTCGTATATTATAAATGTGAAAGTTTAGATGGATAGATGTTTGTTAGTTGTAGCCTCTGCTGAATGGATCTCGATGTAATTTGGCATAGATGTAGAACATATAGGCTATTTACTTTTGGTTTTATTTTAATTTCAAGATGAAGTTACAGCCAAAAACTAACATGTTTATAAATATGAATGTTTGGATGGATATTATTTAATATCTCTAAAATGGCTTAACAGATGTCAATTTTGCACAGATATAGAACATTCTAGAACATATAGGCTATTAAGTTTGTTAAATTCTGTGCGAACAATATCTTAGGTAAAATCTAGTATTCTTATAAAGTTCATCTTGAAAGGAAACCTATCTACTTCTGCCTTTGGCAACAGCTTATATAGTATTCTCATATTTAACTGTAAAATTAAATTGATATCACCACCTCACTATTCACCCCCACCTAGGGGCTTAGAGGCTAACCTAAGTTAGTGACTAGGCCATAGTCAATGTTGCCCCACTGCGGATTGACTTTACACATATCAGTGTATTTCTTAGATATCAGCAGGTTGCATCATGTTTTCCTTCACCATAGGAACGTCAAGTAAATTATGTACATATGAAAATCTAAAATCATATTGGTATGGCGGGATTTCATAAGACCAGTAGATTACAAGTCGTAAACCCCTGAGCCACTGATGTTTAGATTGATGTACAGTTATGAACTGTTAATTGACCTATATTTAACAGGAAGTGATAAAAAACGCGCCAGAAATACAAACCTAGAGGGTCCTTGTTGAATGGCTTTCTGCCCGACCTTTTCCGACGAATTCATCGTAACCATTTTAGTATTTGAATCAATACAGTTTACAACTAATACTAATTCACAATTCCCATATTTAATACTAACTTCAGCTTTTACACTAGAATCGTTTAAACGCGTTTTTTTCATTTATTTAGATAAATTAATGCATGTTTATGTTGATTAAATTTTATTTTATCGCTTTCGCGTAATATGCACTTCCGAAGGTTTACTGTATTGAGTACACAAACACCCGATTTTAAATAGGAACTTGTTATTTATTTAACAATTAAAATTAAATAGTGATTTTTAGTTTATTATTTATTGAATAAAATTGTTAAAATACTACTAATTCAATTCCATAACACATAAGCACAGAGAGTCACACCCTTTTCACAATATTTAAACACCAATTCCTTACAATAAGCATATTGTTTTATTCATGAAAACTTAATTTATCGGCGAACAAAACTGAAATTCTTACATTTTTCACAAATACTACGAAATGTCAAAGAACCAACGCCATTAATCATTTCTACTATTTTTTTTAAACGAAAGTGGTCCATGTTAGAAAGAGAAAGCAAATATAACGACACTCGTACGTAAAAGAGACAGATAGAATAGGCAACTACTAACCGACAAAATTAAATATGTGGTTCAACACTTGAAAATAAACGATTTAAATGACCTACTTAAATTAGATCGATTCAATAGAAGAAATCTCACGAATGGCGCATGTGTTTATGTTAGATTTTATTGAGCGCTTTATTTAGTGCTATTTTTAGACTGTTGTGATTCAGTTGAGAGGAAAATTGCAATTTGTTCGGCTTAAGTTGGTTTATTTACTTCGAATAATATTAATTAACTTGGAATGTTATGAAGATTAAATCAAGTGTTACTTATTAACAGAGTTATGTCAATAGATTTATAGATGGCAGCACTTTGTGGTGAAACTCATAATTCAAAAGTAACATCGAATTCGTTAATTATAATTAATATTAGATTGTTAAATTAATTTGCGTACCGTTATTTCGACTTAATCAAACATTTAATGATAACACCTTATTCACTAATAATACATCAAGAGAACAACAAAATTAAAAGTGTGTCTGATAACGTTATAAAAGGCGCGAACTATCTCGCTGTTCAAATTAAATACTCTATTCTATTTTTAAATTAAACCTACAGTTTCACTTTCCACATTATTTATCCTTCGATTGTTATATTATTAACATAAAAGCCTGAAGGAAGAAAATGCAAATAGCAAAAATGTGGCAGGATAGACGTAAAGCAAAGATGCATCTTTAAAAAAAAGTTCAGAGAAGACAGCTTATACTCAAGAATAAAATCACGGCTATATTTGAATTAATTATAAAATAACATTAAATTAATAAATAACGAGTTACAGAAACCCCCTCAACTCAGGCGAAATCAACAAGTGACGCACGTAAGTGTAGCCTAGGCAGATCCAAGAAATAGGAAGTGTTAGTAAAAGTGAATCCCAAAAATAATTGTTTCCATGAGGATTATAAAAATCATTCTTAAATTCTTAACTTCTCATATTCTAAATAAAATTTTTATTGTTTACAATTGTCAAATTTTCAATTGCAAATGTCAAAAAATTACCGTACCATGGTAAACTTGCTTCCTTGATGTTGGCAGCTTGTATTGTATGTCCTTTTTCTCACATCAAGGTTTTTTCCAATTTATTTACCCCCTAAGTTTTACAACGTGATAATACATAGCCTAAAGCGTGACGTAAGTGTAGGGCTTTCTATTAAAGAAAGAACTATTCAAAAATATGCTGTAATTGCTGATATCCTACGCTATAAAGTAATGTCTGTTTACGCTTCATTATACGAAAATAAGTATAGATTTTAGGTAGATATAGATAAAACTAATAAAACGACAATCCTTTATGTCAAATAAACAGGTTGTCTCTGGTCGAATATTTTCGGAATGTCAAGGTCGAAAGTGAACGTGGCATGGTAGATGTCACGGACCATAAGCCACTGGAATGTACATAATACACATGCGTCTACAAATTGAGAATCTTCAATCAATATCGATGAAGAAAAAGTTAATGTAAATAAAACGTAATGTCGAAGTCCTTTGTCTATAAACTTTTCGTTTTGTATTAGAATTAACTAAATTATGCTATGAAAGGTAACTTTTATTTAATAGGTTAAAAGGTATTTATAAAGAGGATTTTTTATTTTGTATTTTTGTATGTATTGAAAGTTATTTCTAATTGAGTTACTCAAAAACTACTGGGCCGATTTTAAAAATTCTTTCACCGTTAGAAAGGTGATTTATCTGTGAGTTACATAGGCTGTTTTATTAATTTTTAAGTTTACGCGGGCGTAGTCGCGAGCAACATCTAGTTACTAATAACTTCCAGTCTATAAATCTATCGTAACAACTTACTAAATGACATCAGTTGTAACATGGTATTTATTATTCCTAAGTAGGCAATCCACAGTTACGTATAAAACATGCTTGTTTTGATTAAAAAAGTAAAACATTTTATCGAACAGATAAAGAAACCTGGATTTCCTGTTTTTATTTTACAATCACTATTGACATTAAGGCTTTATGTTACTGGCCATATTTACTGTAACATTAAAAACAACTAGAAAATAAAAGTTGTCTCTGCCGGCTCTACAAGGTCACTTCCAGTTATAACAGTTCCGTGTACAAATACAAAATTAAAATGTTGTATTATTTTGAATTTCAAATTATGTGTTAAAATTAAAAACCAGTTGAAAAATCTGATTAGAATTTCGTCTTTTTCATCCGTAGCCTTCTTTTTACTGGTATGACAGAAGCTATTTTGGCGGGAACCACAGATAATATATCATTTCGTTTTGATTATCCAAAATGTTATTCCTGTACCTCTGATTTGCAGTTTTTATTTATTTTATTTATTAATTATTGTTATTTATTTTCGACTTTCTTACGATGAAAGAATTGCTGTTATGTGGCCTAGTCTAAAAGATCTGTGTTTGACGATTATTATTCTATACTGCAAATATTTAAAAATAGAACACTAAGCATATTCTAATTTTAATTAGTTATTACAGTTTATTGTGTATTTAAATTAAATCAAACTCGTTCTTAGCGGGAACAAAAGTCAATTCCTTGTGCGGAGGTCATTTACTTTCAAAATGGCGAGGCGAGCGGCTCCGCTAACCCTTTCCCTGTCAATGATCTTAGCTCACCATAGACTACGTTATATACAGAGAGTTCAAATAATGGCGGGAAATTACATCTGAGAACAGATGGTGCCAATACACAGACGATGTTACGCGACAAAAAGAAAATTAAAAGCCTACCTCTCAGGGTAATAATTAATATTGAAAGAGTGCAAACGCGCGGCGGGAACACCCATAATCGACGGCCATAGACAACTGCTATTTGAGAAGCCATTGAGAAACAAGTATAATTTTCTGCTTTACAATACCAGAATGCGCTTTTCGTTACGTTTGAATCTAAGATATTGTATTAGTAATCTAATCTATGTATATCTATATTGTATACGTACTAATATAATAAAGCGTAAACACCCACTTTGTTATGTAGGATGTCAGCAATCACAGCATATTTTAAAATAATTGTCTTTTTAATAAAAATCCCTACACGCTAATAAATTTAGGGGGTAAATAGATTTAAAAAAAACCGTCATACGGTGAAGGGACAAAAGCTACAAGTAATTGTTATCCAATGTCAAAGGCCTTCGTTGTTTAAATATATATAATATAAAATTTTAAGAAATGTAAATAATAAAATACAGTTTTTATAATGTCAGGCGAATAAAGCCGCACGGGAACAGCTAGTTTAAACTATATAATCAAACGAAGTCGTAAGTTATAATTTCTTATTGTAGCTGTCTGTATTTGCCTTGCTCTGTGTTTCACCAACTTAATGCAGGAATGCGATGTCTAAAGATACTTACAATTTATTATAACTGCGGTAAACTGTGAATACCAAATGGTTGTGTTATCCATATCTATATCTATACTATTATAATAAAGCGTAAACACACACTTCTTTGTTGCCTAAGATGTCAGCAATTACAACATATTTTTGAATAATTCTTTTTTTAATAAAAAGCCCTACACTTACGTCATGCTTTAGGCTATATTTTCACGCCATTAAATTTAGGGGGTAAATATTGTGGATAAAAACCCTAATGTGACAAAGAGACCATAAGTTGCTGCCAACATCAAGGAAGCAAGATTGCCATAGTAAGGTAATAGGTATTTTGACATTTTCAATTGAGAGTTTGACAAATGCAAACAATAAATGTGTAATTTAACAGTTAGTATATAATAAAAATTGAGTGTCTGTTTGCATTATGAAAAGGAAAATTCCAAATTTCAGGAAGATGATGGATTCGCGTTGCTGATAACGAAAATCGCATTTAAAAAATGTTTTTCTGTCTGTCCGTAAGTCGCGTTTATTCCGGGTAATCTCCGAAACGGCTGGGCCGATTCCGACCGGAATTTCACTGAAGGGTAGCTGATATAGACTTGCATGTTATAGGCGATTTTTTAGAAGTCGCGGACAACAGCTAGTATATACAAACCTTTATCCGCAGATTAGCTATTGTTTTCAATCATTCCCAAAAGAAGGTTATAAAATCGTCTGTATGTATTAACCATAAACAATCGAAGTGACAGTTTCTATTTTTTAAATGCATTTATTTATGGTTTTTATGTACTTTTGCGTGTATAATTTACGCTATAATTACTTGGTAAATGAACAATAAATATCCATTTAATATCGTCTATAGTAGGTATCTAAAATTTCGTTTTTTTTCTACATTCTAAAGCTTTCTGATCGACGTTCCGCGGTGTGATGTGACCAGCTGTCTGGTGCTGTTGTAACATATTATTACGCAGCAAAGTAACTAAATTCTGTAACCTTTATATAAAAATTATCAAGTTCTTAAGTAAATCTTTATAAAGATGTTTATAATCAAGATAAAATAAATATAACAAGGTTACACCGACCAAAGCTGCTTGATACTGACCGATTACCATCGATATAATCAACACTTCAACACAAATTGATACTTTCGAGAAGTATTACGATAATTCACGCATTGATGTAATCGACACCACTCTAGATAAGCCGATAGAATAAAGGTTATTAAAACCTTGGTTTAACACGTTTACTACGACAAGTCAAATCATAATTCTGGCGGGCCAAAATGTGCCCCCAATGATAATGCCACCAGTGCATGGTAGGTCTTTCTAGACCCAGCACTAGGATAGACTAAATTGCTATAACTTTGTGGAACCATTATGTATACATCTGAGATAATCGTTTCGAACTGTTTTTTTTAAACAATAAGGTG